GCCTGGTACAAAGCCTGAAATATGGTAAATATTCAATATTAATTTAATTCCCTTTCTTAGTTGACTCTGGACTCAAATAGCTGCTTCACTAATGAGGGCATCTAATTCTTCCTTCTGGCTTCTCAGATCTGTACCTTCTGGTCTAACCCTCTCTACTTAACCAGATTCCTCCTGACTTTATAAATACCTTCTGTCTGGTATATCCCTAAGTCAATCCTTGATAGAATGATAGAATAATTCATTTCAATGAGTCATATTAAAGACTAAATTAGTATTCAGCATGAAGATATGAAGGTATTCAGTGTGTGTACATGCACAGAGAAAAATACAAAAGTCACTAGAAGTTGATACTGGGTATGTGAAAAAAATAATGCAACCTATACAATTGAACAAAAATTAAAGTGGGTATCAATTTTCATAATGACAGATACTGACCACAGACATATTTTTTCAGACTTTGTCAAAATATACTAAAAAGCCCTTAAAAATATTGAACTGGGCTCTTCCTTTATTAATGAGGAAAATGCACAATTTTATTTAGTTATCAAGAATAAAAACTTGTTCGAGGTTGAAAGACTAAAGACACTTGTAGAGAAGTAGAAAATTAAATAGAATCAAACATATCTACTACCTCATTTGAGAGGAATATTTAATTTGGAAGATATATACTAATGTCTTGTAAAACATACTTGATTACATAACAGTAAGAATCAATTTTGGAGCTAGTTCAGTGACAAAATAATGTAAAATACATTATCCCATGCATGTAAACTGTAATTACATCTTAAATAAGATGATATAAAATACTACACTGCAAATCCAAATAGCTGCAAACTCAAAAATTTATCCAATAAGTATGTTATTAACATTTCTCTTAATATATAAAAAATGCAAAAAGAAACAATATAGAAATATTTTCAGCTATACAAATTCAGGGCTTTCATGACTAAAAATGGCTGAGGATTCCACCATTATTTACATACAATTTTTTCTACATAGTAAATGTTTATATCTAATACAATTTTACCTAATTTATCTCTGGGCAAAATGAATGCTATAATTGGACAATGAAGGCTTTACTCATTCACACTTATATGTACTTGCCATGTGCCAGATACTGTTCTAAGCACTCTACAGATATTAACTCATTTTATCTTAAAACCATGTAATAGAATATGGTTTTAAAATAGTAATAAAAAATAACCCTGACTGGTGTGGCTCAGTGGGTTGGGTGTCCTCCTGCAAACCAAAAGGTTGACAGTTAGATTCCTGGTCAGTGCACATGCCTGCATTGCAGGACAGGTTCCCAGTTGGGGGCTTGCGAGAGGTAACCAGTCATCTTTTCTCTCCCTCTCTTTCTCCCTCCCTTCCCCTCTCTCTAAAAATACACAAATAAAATCTTAAAAATAAAATTGCTATTTTCCTCTCCACCTTTCCATCCCATCCATCATAGGTAGTCAGTGAAAGAATAGCAAACATCCAATGAAAGATCTCTTTGACTTATAAGATTTCAGTTAGTTTCTGGCTCTATTTAGAGTTCTCCATGACTTTGGATAAGTTACTGAAACCAAAACTTTCCAAACTTGAATTCAAAGGAGGGTGTTATAATTACAGATGCCTTGGGCTTCACGCCATTCTAACTGAAAGTTTAGAATAGAACGTGAGAGTCTGAACTTCCTTGACAGCTATACAGGTGATTCTAAAAAGCAGCAACACTTGGGAACCATTACTTTAGTAGTCTCATCTTCTAATCCCCTGACAGAATTATGGAAATATGTGGTCCACAAAGGTAGACATGAAGGGGAGCATTATAGACATAAATGGTGAAATCTCCACTTTTCTCCCACCTTCATATAATCTTCTTACATTCCAAAAATTTTTAATGTATAAAAGAAACTGTACTAACTGTCATTCTCCAGAGCATTTGAGATCTTGCTTTGCCCATCAACTATTGTCAGTTTAGCTCAAATAAAATCCTATAAAATTTTTCTACATGTTTGGATGTTTCTTACATAGACAAGATAATGGACAAAACCTCACAAGACTACATGTTTTATTTTGTATTTCTGATTAAACAATGATGAGAATGACAGAAGTTTCATAGGAATGTTCACCTTCATGCTTCAGATAAATTCTTATTATTCTGTAATAGGGACATGAGTAATGCTTTTAACATAAAATTTCAGTTCAATAACTGCAATAGACTAATTGTGAATTCTAAAACATGAGTGTAACAAAAACATATCTACCTTATACTTCTCCCAAAAGCATGTATTACCTCTAAGTAGCAGTGAACATAAGAATTGTAGTTACTAAAATTTTACTTTTTATTCTATTTATCTTTTTTAATGCATAAGGTTTGTTCATAAATAAAAATTAAACTCACAAATCAAGGAATCTAAGCATATTTTAAAACAGAACTCTTTGTTTCAATTTGTTTGAGTTGCCCAGACAGAAAATTTAGGAATGCTCATGAGTTCTACTGGAAATCAGTGCTAATTATTAATATGTACTTACAATTATGCCTATTCATCCAAGCACCTAAAAAGAACTTTTAAGGGATTCATTTGTTATTTCTTATAACATCTCTAAGAGGCAGGCTGGTAGAAAGTTATTCTCTATCTTAGAATCAAAGAAACTAGGTCAGAGAGGTTAAGTGGCTTTAATAGAGTTATACAATGAACAAAACAAAAAAGGAATTCACAGTCCTTGTCCTCATTTCTACTTTAGTACACTGTCCAGTAAATGGTTAATATACCTAAATGTATTTCTATGCTAGGAAAATTGAGAATGCACTTGAATAATCTATGAACTAAAAGTGAGAGTACCCCATTTGTGTTCAAAATGCTGCTCTATAGGAATACAGAATAAGAACTAGTAATTTTTGTACGCTGTAGCTATTATTTGCAGGGGTTTTGCTATTTGTGGTTTTCTGAAGCCTCTGTTCAAACTGATCCATTCTATTTTTGACTGCTTTAAGCCAGGTTAGCACAGTTGTGACAACCAAGACAGGCTAATGAATTTAAAGGTGTCTTTCATTGTGTTCCCACTGCTCATTCTTGAAGTCATCCTCCTTTTAGTTCTTCATTTAGCAGTTATTTGCACAACCTGCCATTCTGAATCCTTTATCTGTGGCCAGCTTTACTAAGCTAATGTCAATGAGTAAACTTAAAAAACTTTTTATTAAAATAGCATTTCATTTTGAGTTTATGATGCTATTCTAGTTAAACATTGCCATATTCAGTTCCCTGTAAGCCTAACCTTAATGATCCTTAGACCATTAAGCATCTGAGTATTATTAGTCTATGGATGGGCATAAATTACCACATGGGGAGGTTTCCAATGGTTACAATTTTAGCAATTTTCCCAAGAAAATGTAGGAAGAAGTGGTTTTGAAACTGTGCTCAATAGAGACTGCACTTTGCTTGGATGTGGTAATACAAAACTGGGGTTTTCCTAAATTCAGCCTAGATTCTCCTCAGAGCTCTAGATCCATGTAGCAACTGTCATTTGACCACACCACTGTTACTCAAACTCACCAGGTCCAAAATGGCACTGCACCCCATCTCTCATCCCATCCCCACTCTTTGATGTCTCACTTGATACAACCTACTTTTATCCTTCCCAAAAAGCAAAATGGCATCATTGTCAATCTCCTCTTACCCAGCACCTGACCCCGGCAATCAATTATCAAAAGCAGTGGATTTAGGTTCCTGAGTATTTTAGGAATCCATCTTTGCATGATTACAGTCACATAATGGTCCTTTCATCCTTTATTCCTGTAATGGCCTGCAGTCTACAAGCACTCCTCCCAGATAATCTGTTCCCCCACCCATAGCTTGTACAAGTATAGAGGGTGGTTACAGCTTGCACGAATCCAGGGTCATTACTCTATTCGTTGCCTCACCATGGTAAGAGTGCTCATGATTTGGCTTCTGCTTTTCCAGCCTCATCTTTTTTTAGAAACTCAGGATCGAACTTTTAAGTCCTGTAAAAGGATTTCTAAACACACTCTGATTTCTAAACAGATTATTTGTCCCTATGCCGCAGGACCTGTTAAGATCGTATTTGCCATCCCATTCCCTATTTGTGTACCGAGAAACCCCTATTTACCTTTAAAATCTAATACATAGTAATGTGTTCTTGCTCTGTATACCTTGATATAACAACTTCCAATCAGAATTACATGTTTTCATGTCTGTCTACCCACTGGATAGTACCAGCACGGAGATGATACTCAAATATGGGGGCAGGGTGTAGTCGAGAGATTGGGCTCTGAAGCTGCTAACAAATGTTAGGCAAATGATCTATTGCGAACCTGTGTAATGATTTAAACAAAGCAACTAATTTGGTGGAACTACTTCTAATTCCGGCTACCAAATCACGGGATGGGGCCGCAGGATGATCTCGGTGTCGCACCACACCTGCAGTGTCTTAGGAGGCTCCAGCCCCTTCACAATAGGCTCTAGACCATCCAAGGAGGCGACTTCTCACAACAGTTCAATGTGAGATCCCGGGCAGCCTCCGAGACCCTCTAGTCAGGAGAGGCGACTGACCCATCTCCTAGAATTCAGCCAGCGACTAGGCACGCCGCCGGCTCCACTCCGGACCCCGCCGCAGAACGCAGCGAACTCTACCGTAGGACGCCCCAGGAGAGAAGTAGCTACTCCGTAGAAGCAAGATGGCGTCTTTAGGCCTCCGCTCCTTTCCCCAAAAACCCTCTCTTGGCTCCCAGAAGAAAGGACGTTGCGACGCCGAGATCCAGGAAACTCCGCGAGGCCGCAGCCACTACCGGGTTCCTGGGACGTGATTTCATCTTTCCCTGCGCCGAGACCTAACGTTGGGGCCACCCGACTGAAAACAGAGTCAGGCCACAGCACGCAAAAGGTACGTGCTGGATAGCCCCCGCCCCTCAATCTTTGTTCCTCAGCTGGGTCCCTAACACTCTCGGCTACGCCCCAAAACAGGAAGTCCCTCCTTCTCCGGCCCGCCCCGTTCCCCAGCGCCCCGGAAGTGCTCTGCGGTTGCTGCTGCAGAGCGGCCTGGAGGTGGGTGGAACTCTTGTGAGCTGGGCGTCCTGAGCTTGCCTCCTCCCGATCTTCCTCCTCCTCCACCCACTCCCAAGCTCCGCCGCCGCCCGTCGGATTCCTTCTCTGTTGCTCCGGCGCGGAACCTTCCAGACTGGGGCCAAGGACTCTTCGCTCGAGCTAGCTCAGTGCGGTTTCCGGTGCCCGCGGGGCGGTGGACTCGTGTGCTGTGCAGGTGAGCGATGGAGGGCTGGGGTGGGGGGCGCTCGAGGCCCAGGTGCTGGGCTTGCTAGGGTGATTTCACGCCCCGCGTTCTGCCCGGGGCGAGCCCGGGATGGAATCCGGGGTGCCGTGCTCGCTGCTAGGAGGGCGAGTGCACCTCCGAGGGCAGGCGACTACAGCGAAGTCCCCCGCTCCCGGCACCCCTCCAAGTTGGCCCCGTCGGCACATCACCCATCTCCGGCCCTACGGTCGGAGACCCCCTCCTGGGCGGTGCCCGGGACCCCACAGCGGAAGTCCGAGCGCCTCATTCCGCCCCTTTCCCCTCCTTCCCTTTCTTTCAACTCTTTGGCTGTTGTACAGCATTTGGTTTTTAGAAGCATCTTCATCAGGGTTTTGTGTCAGTTAAAGAAATGGCTTTTTCCTAAATGGCTTCAGACTGAAGTCATTAGATTTTCCGCACCGAACTGGGCTTCTTGCACAGGTTTGACACATATTTGGGTAATCCAGCCCCTAAAAAGGAGAATATAGATATTTTGACTGAGGGGTGTTTTCTCTGTAGTTCGTTCCTAGAGGTTTTCCAGAAGTGGAAGGTGTGATTTGTATGCATTAGTCTAGTATACGCGTGTAAGTGGGCGGCGGTGACCTCGCAGTGTTGTTTTAAGGTTTAAGGAGAATTAAGGAGTTAACTGGCCTTTGCTTTGGAAACCAGAATGTCCAGACTTGTGGAAGCTCCTCCAGGTGTCATGGAAGTTGTGTGAGAACTCCAATGCCACGCCCTACATGTCAAGCAAAAAAACACCTAATTTACAAATGGAGTTTGGTGGTGGTGGGGAACCTTTATAAAGCAGGTGTTACAAGTTAATTCCTGTCCTGGAAGAAAATCACAACTTTAATCGTGTTCCAAAAATTGGATAACAAATTTCATTTAGTAAACTCACAGTAGAAGGCATTAATTTTAAGCTAGTTTATGTTTTTCTATCTTTACTAATACTATATTACTGTAAAATGACTCTGACTCTAAAACGTTATTTTTAGACTTTGAATTTCTTCAGCGCAGAAGCCATGTCTTACTCATCTTTGTGTTTTGAGGTGATGTGATCTAGAACATAGAAGTTATTCATTACTTTTTTTTTAAATTTTATTTGTTGATTTTTAGAGAGAGAAAGGTCGGGGGAAGAGAAACATAGATTTGTTGTTCCACTTTTTTATGGCTTCATTGATTGCTTCTTGTATGTGCCTTGACCAAGTATGGAACCCTTGACCTTTGTGTATTGGGATGATCCTCTTAACCCACTGAGCTACTGGGGGTGGGGCCATTCATTCATTTCTTCATTGAATGAGTGAAAGTGTAGGTGAGCTCACAGTTGCCTTCCAGGAGTCATTTTATTGGGCTAGAGTCTTTTGGTTTATATTTTTATTACAGTTTCCTGACACATACAGACTTTGTCTGTCTGTTCTTTAGCATGGTCAAAGAACATTTTAAGAAGAATTCTTTGCTGTCCTTCCAAAACTCTATCATCCCCTGAGACGTTAAAATTATATTTGGGGCATTATGTCTGAGTATTATAATAATTTGTATAGTGTTAAAGGTTTACTACTTGAGCATGTTTGTCCAAAATTATCAAGCAATGATTTCCTGGTGATAGTAGGTTTAAGTTTGGGTTGAGTTACCACCGTTTAGAGAATGAGGTGAATCACCAAAGTGAAATATGTGGCATCCTGTGAAAATCCTGTGGCATCCAGTATGACCTTGGCATAATTTACCAATAACTACATTCATATTTTTTTCAGAGACCCAGATGCTGTTCTCTAGAGTGTGCAGTCACTCTCTAGAGTGACTGCTGAGTGTGCAGTCATCTGTATTGTCTATTTTGAAGCAATTCTTCATTCAACACTTTCTTCACAGGACCTTCAGGGGAAAAGGGCTAATTATAGGAAAATCTTGTCTACCATTTGTTGGGGAGGACAATTTTTATCTATAGACAGTTGGGTTATGTTCACTTCAGGGAGGTCCAGATAGAAGAGTGCTGTTATCTTCTTTCCCTTACAAATTGGTGGTGGTCCACACTGGTTTTCCTAGCTTAGCTTCTACAGAAGGTAAATAAATGTACCAGAATCATTTCTCGTATTTGTGTGTCAGTGTAATATGTACTAGTAGTCTTTACTAGTGGGGTGGCAAAGAAAACCACTTTAAAAACACTAGAGTAAGAGGCTGTTGATGAGAAAAAAAGTTATGATTTTGCAGAAGTAAGGAGACAGTATATGGTTTCCACTGTTTTATAAAATGTTTTGATTCTTAGACATCTAAGGAGATCTCTCTCCTGCAATTTCTTACCTCATTCACATTACCACTATAGAGAAGTCAGATTTCTCTTTTTGAATTCATCAACCCTCCTGATAATAATAGTCCTTATACATTGATTGCCTGCCTAGTCCTTTGATAAAAGCTTTGCTTATATTATTTCTAATCTGAATAATGCCTCTGCAAGAGAGGTAGTTTTCCTACACTTTACTAAGTGAAGTTATTTATAGGTGTCTAGGTAGCTAGTGTGTAGCAGTCTGGATTTGAAAGTAAAGATTTCTGAGAGTGTTGGTGATTGCAGTTAATCCTAAAAGGTTGAGGAAAATGAGATTCTGATCTCAGCATTTGGTCATGTGGGGGCTGGGGTTACTAGTAACTTTAGCCAGGTGGTGGCCCAAAGCAGCAGCCACTCTTCTGTTTATCTCCTGTGTGCCTACAAACACAGTGTTACCACTTTCTATGTGTGGGGTGATGAAAATAGTGATTAGGCATTGTTCGTATAAACATTGTGGAAAAAGAGTATTAGGAACTTGACTCTGGTGTTTGATGACTGCTTTTTACCTCTGAAGTATCAATATTTGAGGTTTGACAGGACTTTTGAAAACTTTTGTACTAGCCTTTCCTGAATGGGTATTGGTTTATCTGTCACTAACTGAGATGGGAGAGAGGTTGTGGGGAATTGGGAAGAACGGTAAAAGAAGCTAAGGTGTACTGGGTCTGTTTTTACCATTTTATACCATGTATCTTTTTCTCTTTGGGTTTAATATGGAGGCTTAAAGAGGGTAAAACTCTTGGAAGGTCTAATTGCTATTTGGTGCTAGAAGAATTCTCTTCACTCTTTCCAAACCTGTGCAGTTTTTGATTGATTTGATTTATTGATTTTAGAGAGGAAGAAAGAGAGAAACATCAATTATTGTTCTACTTACTTATTTATTCATTGCTTGTTTCTTGTATGTGCCTTGTCCGGGTATCAAACCCTCAACCTTGGTGTATCAAAAAACACTTTTAAATGGGCTTAATTCAGACAGATGTGTTCCACTCTTTCTTTTTTTAAGTACATAGGTCTATGTAAAAAAAACAGCTCATTATCAAGCCCTCACTAGTAACAGTTATCCTGTGTTTCCTTTTTAGCCCTAAGACACTTTATTTCATTCATTAGGATTTCACTATAATATAGAAAAAAATGAAATTAAAGCTCTTAGTTTTTAAAAGACTTGAGAGTAAATTTTAGAAGAGAATTTGTACTTTTGATTTAAATATACCTGGAGGTGAAGACCTAATTCCTCAATGTCAAGAGGGTAGTCTGTACAAGCCAAAAAAGCACATTTCCATAAAATACTATTCTTTTAAAAATGGTTTTTATTGCCTTTTTTCATTTGTTCCTATTATGCCCTCTTTGACCTCTACCCTCTGTCCCCACAGTCACCACACTGTGGTATATATGCCCATATTCCTGCAACTTTGGGGGTTGGGGACCCCGACCCCCCAGGGCTGTCAGCCTGCTATATCTCAGTCTCTATTTTACTTGTTCAGTTTGTTCATTAGATTACACATATGAATGAAATCATATGATATTTGTCTTTCTCACTGGATTATTTCACTTACCATAATGTTCTCCTGGTCTGTCTATACTGTTGCAAAGGGTAAAATTCTTTTCTTTTCTTTTCTTTTCTTTTCTTTTCTTTTCTTTTCTTTTCTTTTCTTTTCTTTTCTTTTCTTTTCTTTTCTCTTCTCTTCTCTTCTCTTCTCTTCTCTTCTCTTCTCTTCTCTATTCTTTTCTTTTCTTTTCTTTTCTTTTCTAACGTCTGAGTAGTATTCCATTGTGTAATTTACCATAGTTGTTATGTCCATTCATCTACTAGTGGACACTTGGACTGTTTCCAAATATTGGCTCTTGTAATAACACTGCACTGAACATAGGGGTTCAGTACTTACATACTTTAGAATTAGTGTTTCAGGTTTCTTTGAATAAATTCCCAGAAGTGGAATCACTGGGTCGTAAAGCAGTTTCATTTTTAATTTTTTCAGGTAACTCCATACTACTTTCTACAATGTCTGCACCAATTTGCATTCCCACCAATAGTGCAAAAGGGTTCCCCTTTCTCCACATCCTCACCAGCACTTGCTGTGTTTATTGAGTTATTGATGATAGCCATTCTGACAGGAGTGAGGTGATATTTAATTGTGGTTTTCAGTTGCATTTCTCTGATGATGAGTGACATTGAGCATCTTTTCATATATCAACTATCTGTGTGTCCTCTTTGCAGAAGTGTCTATTCAGATTCTTTGTCCATTTTTAATTGGATTTTGTGTATGTGTGTGTTGAGTTTTATAAATTTTGAATATTAACCCCTTATCCAGATATATCAGTGAATATGCTCTTCCATTCAGTGGGTTGTCTTTTGATTTTTGTTGATGGTTTCCTTTGCTGTGCAAAAAGTTTAGTTTGATATAGTCTCATTTATTTTTTCCTTTGTTAACCTTGCCTGAGGAGGTAAATCAGAAAAAAATACTGCTATGAGGAATGTCCAGGATTTTGCTGCCTCTGTTTTCTTCTAGGATATTTATGGTTTCAAGTTTAATGTTTAAGTATTTAATTCATTTTCAATTTATTCTTTTGTGTGACGTCTAATGTCATTTTTCTGGACTTACCTAATTTTCCCAACACTGTCTTTAACCCATTGTATGTGCTTGCTTCCTCTGTCAAATAT